GAGCGTTTGACAGAGTAAACCACGAGGTACTTCTTCCCAAACTGAGGTATGTTGGTGAACAGTGCCCCATGCTGAGGCTGATGTTGCATTCTTGATGCTTCTTCACTGCAATTGGGCTAAACCAACTTACACTTAAAATAGGTCTTTTTAAGCTGGATAAATTTCATTCCACTTTATTTGGTTTGTTCTGCCTACCTGACCAATCTATTAACTGGCCACGTTGCTTACGCTAACTGCGCTTATCTTCGGTAATTTTGTTGCGTCTGTAGCATTTTTAAGTAACTTGTGAACATTTTGTACTTATCGCGGATTCGTTGCTAACCAACTTACTTCATATGCTAATTTAGCGAAGAGTTATGCCACCGTATCTGTATGCATTAGTAGATTTATTTTATTTCAGCTTGTCGTTTAAAGTGAATAGCAGTTACTTGATAACCCCGGTGTGTCTGCGCTTGTTGTGCATGTTGACAAGGTGCCTACCTGTCTATTACCCACTACCTCGTTCATACTGGCTCCAGGAGACAGTTGGTCGTTGCTGAAGGGGACGAGGTGCACGGTCCTTGTGGCCGTGCTAGGCTCGAAGAGTGGTTCCGTGCACTCAGTGTGGAGCGGACTACGGTCCAGCCACCGCCTTGTGTGCGCTTGTTTCCCCAAATACAGCGTGCTTGTGTTTGTCTGTGAAGGAGTGTGGGCCGGCTCCATTGATGAAACGTGGCTCCCATCCACATGCCTCCCGGTCTTATTCCTTCGGGTTTACACTGGATATGTGGTGTGTGGTTGGAGCTGTGGGTGGTGCAGCGCCAGTTACCCATGGTCTCTCTGTAGGCGCAGGTGTCCTGTGGCTGGCCACAGTGGCAGGCAAATCCGAAACCGGATGCCGCGAACCATGCTGGTGAACAACCGCATGTGTGGGATTCCATTTCGTACCTCTATTCTGAAGCCAAGATGCCTTTTTGCCGCCTCCGTACATGTTCCTATTGACTAGTTCGAAGGATGTTAAAGACGATTTCTTTCGGGAACTCTCATCTCTCCATACAACGAAACGTATTGATGTCGGGATTGTTGCTGGTAACACAAATGCCCAAGTGGGCAGCCTTTCAAACCCTTGACAACACTTGGGAGACCGTTTCGGAGTCGGTGCACGTCGAACAAGCAATGGCGATCGATTTCTACAACTATATGCCGACCACAATATTAGCAGCACAGCTCTCCAGCACAAACGTTCGCCAAATTTCTTGATGATGTGGGCCCAAATTGACTGTTTTGCCATCTGCTATAGATGACGCACATGAGCCCATTTCCGTCGGTCAGTTTGGAGCGCATCCCTGGATTCCGACCACTGCTTAGTACGCGCACTCCTGGCGTTTACTCTCCCCTCTTCAAAAAAGCGCCTTACCCTCAACTTGAACTCACAGTCTGCAATTCAACACTATATTGACGAACTGATCCCCAATTGACGGCAATGAGATTGTGAGCCGAACGCTGATTGGTTTGGTCTCAAGTGTGTTATGCACATTGCTTTTGGCGCGTGCTGTACGCCCAACCTGAGTTGTCCAAACTGTGTATGAGTCTCTGAGGCACGCAAACAGGTTGCGTTGAGCACTGAGTTTCAGCGTGTCCGTAACACTTGTAACGATGACTGGCAAGGAGTCTTTGAATGGACCGCGAACGTTGGTGAGTGGCAAGTGCCTGTGAGATGGATAAAACTAGTGTTCTTGGAAACAGTCGAGTCCTGTCGCAGTGTATCTGGAACACGGGTCCAAGAAATCCCTCAGTTAATGAAATAATAGCTGAGAAAGATGGGTAGTTTATCCATTCTCAACGCGTCGATTAGCCCGTTGGGCGGAACACTTTGAACACTAGTTCAGCAAGCATGCTGCGACACTGCCACCTGGGCCGAAGTGGGAAGTTGATTTCACGCCTACTACCTTGGATGAAATTCGAGAAGAGCTCGCCGTGTTATAAAGATACAAAGCTTCTGGACCCGACGACCTTCCTCCATCTTTACTGTAAGATGAGACATTGAAGCGGTGCCTTCAGACTGGCGACTGTCAACCGTCCCTCCCGTTTTTACAAAGGATCGACGGGCTTTGTAGGAAACCATCGAGGCATTAGTCTTCTTTCCATTGCCCCCGATTTCTAACGTGCATCATTCTTCGACGACTTGCTGGTCTCCGGGACATCCAAATCACTAAAAACTGTATTCCACCCTGGTCGTGGTTACCTTGACCACATATTTGCTCTTCGCTGAGTTTCAGAGCAGATACACGCATTCGATCGACTGTGGTGGTTCTCCTTGACTTGAGAGCCCCGTGAACTGTTGGTCGTGTCAGATTGTGGCACTGCCTATCCGTGAAGAGATTGTCTGAAAAACTCCTTTCCATTCTGAAACTTTGACCCTCGAGTCCGGGTGAGAGTTTGCGGACAGTTGTCTTCTGAGTTCCCTTCGACAAGTGGAATTCGCAATTTTGTGATCCAAGTGATCATGAATCCGTCCGTTCTTTCAAACTATTCCGAAATGGGAGTTCTGCCAAGTGACCGACCGACAGACCCTGAGTATGCGGACACGAGGTAGTTCTTGGGTCTGAGGCAGTGGCTGTAAGTGCTGCTGAATAAACGGACGCGTAACACTGCGTTGTTTGCGCGACCGGGATCTGGGTGGAGAGCGGAAGTCAACTGATGACTAGATCTAGAAGAATGTAGACTCTTCGAAGTTGGCTTTGGTTGAAGCCTATCAACTTTCCCGTTGGGATCCGAAAGACGATGAATGTGTTTGTATGCACTTGATATAACGAGGAACTGACCTCAGTGGTCTTTGTTTTGTGTTGCAAATTTTCCTTTTTATTTGTTCCCCATTGTGCTTAATATTGTATACTACGGTGGTGACTTTACACCATTGAAAGAAGGCTTTGTCTGATTACATGTAACGAAACTTTACTTCGCTCTTAGTTATGGTCACACTGGTTTTAGTGGCTAGGCGAGCTACTTCCGCCTTTGCTGATCGTTATTCATTGATCAGTCATTTCACGTTTTTTTGTGACCAACCTGGCAGTGACGCCTAACTGTACGTATTTTGCAATTTTTCCCACGTTTTATGTTAAGACCACGATGGTGTAACTTTTCACACCAATTGCTTTTGCACAAGATCAATGTGTCGCCTTTCCATCACAAGTGACCTTCGTTGCCGATCGAAGCCACGCTGCTTAAGCTATGCAGTGGCCAAGTCTAACCTTTGCTTATCTGTGCACAACACTTCTTTTATACTGCTTTTGCTTACTCCGCTCCGAACCTCAACTTTAGCCTCTCTTGGAGGTCTATCGAGATCCTGCTATCCAATATCCTGAATTGGAATGATCGTGTCACTCGTTGGATTGTGCTTGTTGATTCCATTTTGGTTTTCATTTGTTGCCGGGTGCATCCTCGCAAGCCTCAGCTTTTGACTCGACCACTGAGCGATTATGCATCAGCCAGAGTGCTTACTCGACTAGTCACGACTATTGTCATATTTTTAAATTTAACCCGTTTTCCACTTCTTTTGAATGTCCTATTTCGTGCCCATTGTCGTACGTTGAGTTCTCGTCGTGTATTTAGATTACGTTGCTCACATGACTCAGTCACCAGGGCATCAACTAGATACCAACAGCTCTAGCCATCTCCACCTGAAAAGTTCAAACATGAACGAAACCCGTGGTCACATGCAATGTTGATGGAATAGATCGGCGTCGACGATGTCTTTTTTCCTTCAATGTATTGCTTTCGCCTAAGTCGACTTCTCTCTCGGTTCAGGTGGTATTTTTAGCGTTCAGTTTTTTGCCTACATTTCCCAGTTGAACCGGAGCTTGTTTCAATTGTATATTCCGTTCATTGTAGTATTCACCCTTGTAATGATCGCGAATGGTTTTACAGGGGATTCGCCTTACACGTGACGTAATGCACTGAGTCTCGTGAGCCAGACGTTATTAGCCTTTCAAGTCATTGTGCTGTTTCATAGCTCTTGGACAGTTGGTATGTTGCCGTTTTTGGATACGTACTTGTGAAGGTTGAGCTCAGAGTACTGTGATTTTGCGGTTTGTCCGTGTTAGACCCTCCAGAGAACATGCGACCCACAATGTTCCCCGCCTCACCTACGAACTCTGATGCGTTTAGATGCATTCTGAGTTGCAAATCTTCATTTCACGTAGCGCTTTCGTCCTTTCCCCGATTGGCACACACACGTCGTTGTTAATGTACGCTCATCTCCGTGTCATCTTCAATAGTGCCATTTGCAAGAACATATTCCATTGGTTTTTCTCCGAATCACTTTTCTACTTGGTTATGTTAAAGACATATTCAGTTATCGCACTACTATTGTACGAGCTTTTAATTTTTGAGTCTGCACTTCTTATTCTCGTTTGTTTCATGACATTTGTTTAACTGCTGCATTTCGTTATTCTGATTGGCCAGTGCCCGTCACTGTAAATGGATGTTCGCTTTACACTTGGGGTCCCATGATGCTAAGGACCTAGGTAATTCGCTCTCGATTACACGGTTGCCTATTCTCCCGTTGCATTTGACGTTTCCCTTCTGTTGGTTGGCTCAATTGTAATTTATTAGCTTCCCTTCATTTTACCTTTAAAACTATATAAGCAAATGTGATTTCATCTATACATGTCTCTTTCCTGCTCGTCCTTGGACTTCTTCTTGCGGTCGTGGCGTAAAGGCGTCGGTGACGACTCAACAGCCAAATTTCATCCTTTATTATAATTAAGGGTCAGTGATGCTCGGTCCACCCTTGTGCTCAGGTGCTGCAGCGGTCCACTCGCTAATAAATTCGGGTTACTCTTTTTTACCGGCCCTGTTTTTCTGGCATTGCTCGCATTCGTACTTTCCTATGTGAATGATTTTGTCCATCCATCTGGGGGTACTAAGCCGGTGCTTGTACTTTACTTATGCTTTATACACCAGCATACTAGATGCATAGAAACGTTTCCTTCATCATGCCTCTATTTTGCTTTTGACAGGTTTCCGTTCGAACGTATTGATGGTCGTATCCACGGTCCGCTGAGGCAAGAGGCCATCGATCGGTTCACTGCCGGTTCGTTATCTTTACTCCTATTTTCGTTCTTCTTCTCTCCTGCGTGTGCATCGCTGTATTCCTTCACGTCCTTTCGATTATCTTGTCCGTTTCCTTCCAATATCTATAATACATAGTCGGTCTGTGGCCCATTGATATAAGGCTTCTATCTTGTCATCCAAAGGTCGCCGATTCGCATCTATGTGTTGGTGCGGTGTTCTCGCAGTATTCCCGGTCCACGTACGACTGGTAGTGGTCGCATTACAGCGAAGTGTCGACACAGCTGACGCCTTTTTTTCTACTTTGATTACTGATTGTTGAATACTGAGTTGGAAGCAGCAAGTAGAGGTTTCTCTGTGTAGCTGCATCTATTGTCACTCAGGGACAAAGACCCGTTATGCTGACGTGCGCTCGATATATTTTATATCGACAAAGCGTTGGTCCAGGAATTTCTTAAATTCCGACACCGACTTTCTCTCAACTATGTGCTGCGGCAGATTGTTCCATACATTCACCACTCCGTTCGAAACAGAGTTGGTGAGCGACCCGCTTCAAATCCGATACTACAAGTTTGTACCGGTGTCCTCGTGTGCTGCTTGGTGTGCGCTGATGAAGCAGCGGCCTCAGCATGGGGTAATCACCCAGATGTAATATCCGGTACGTCATGATGAGGTCAACCCGCATTCGACGATAAGGTGTAAAGCTTTAGTTTCTTACACCGGTCTTCGTACGGTACACCTCGTATATTGGGAATCACCCTGGTGGCTACCTGCTGCACTCGCTCAATCTTTTATACCTCACCCCGGATGATAGGACGATACGCGGGAGTGGCATTCTCCAGCATTTGTCGTATTATTGAGACGAAGATGCGAGTGGCAATCTCTTCGGACCAAGTGCTGAAGTTGCGTTTGAGCATACAAACGCTGTTTTGGTAAAACTTCGTGTTGTCCGTGGATTTCAGGTCTTAGCGTGAGAGTACACCGGGATCTCACACGAAAGGCACGTGATGCAACGATTGACCGGCCACAGTGTAGCTTCGACTGTGCTCACACTTACCCAGCCTCATGAATTGCAACTTGACCGGGTTGATCGGAAGGTTGACCTCTGCAGACCACCTGGAGAGGCGGTAGAGGTCCTGCTGAAGCAGGTCACAATCATTGGGTGTGCGGATTACTCTCCACACCTTCATGTCATCTGCGAATAACGCACAAGATGATTGGAGTAGCTGAGGCACATCGTTTAAATGGATCAGAAACAAAATCGACTCCAGTACAGTGCCTTGGGGCACGCCACTGCCCAATGGATATCAGTCGGTCAAATGGTTATCGACCTGGCCCCTCCAATTTCAAGCAACATCGCAATTCGGGTGTTCCCCGAGCTGGCTGATTTGGCTGCAAATGTTTCACCGTCAGGTTAGACGACATCCTCAGTGCGATTTATGCGGGCCACTTACAGATTCAAGTGATTATTGATCATTTGGTTCGAACGTCAGGAGTCGATTGGTCCATGTGAGCTGACCGTGTAGTTACCTCTTGCGTACTGTTGGCTAGAGTCCGCCTCAATGAGGTTCCTTTGTCCTGTTGATCTGGGGCGGAGTATTGATTTGACCCTCAGTGCTTCATAGGCAGTATCTAGATCTAAGTGTCTGTTGATTGAGTTCTTCCCCGAGTACCAAGCCTCGATGAACTCGCGTGCTTTCGACTTTTTGCCCTGCCTATGATCCTGACATTCTCCAAATCAAACTGATGATTATCGGCGTCCATATGTACCGACATCAGGGAGTTCTGGTCATGTCGGCGGATGAATAGGCTATGCTCATGTAGCCTAGTGCCGAGCTTTCTTCCTATCTGACTCACATAGTATTTACTACAATTTTTGCAGTGGATTTTGTACATCACACCACGTGTTTCTTCTTTGCAATGAACCTTTCATCAAACAATTGCGTAATGCTCTGGGCGTCGCAGAGGATAATAAACAGCGCCCTAGCTGCTGCATCGAGCAAAGTGCATATGGATTTGGATGGTATTGCTCAGGCTTTCCCGCCTTCTTATCCCCTTCTTGCTCTTTTTCATCCCTATCATCCCGCTCCAACTTTACTTTAATCTCCTACATTTTCAATCCCCCAATTCTTGACCATCCCCCAGCTTGCTTCAATAGTCGCTTGTCGTCAAGTTTCAAATCACACACAGTCACAGTGCGTCGCTCCAATCCGGTCGACAAGTCCATGTTCAACCGAGCGGATAACGTCAATGCATTCGTTTCCCTTTGGAGTCCTCGCGTCTCGCTAAGACTAGCATGGCTCAACGTGCACACTTTGCTACACATTGGCCAACAGGCAGCACTTGCCTGCACACTAGAGACCCTATTGATCGATAGTTGCTGTTTATTAGAAACCTGCCGGTAAGATTCGAGTCCTGTGCTTACCCTACAATCCCCCACCTGCGACACTGGCGGTACATTCTCATTGCGCCTGTCTGGCGATGATGCAGCTTCTAATGCCGGTCAAGCTGGCGTCGGCATTGTTTTGAGTCCCCGAGCTGAAGCTGCCCTGATCGACTGGATCCCTGTCAACAGCCGGATGTGCACCGTTTGATTAGCTGGTTCGTTCCGTCCTACGAAGTCGCGCGGGGACAAACGGTGCTTGTTTGTGATTGCGGCCTACGCCCCTACAAACGTTAGCACTGATTCAGTAAAAGATGATTTCTACCAGCAACTTCACGAGCTCCTTCTTTACAGAAGAACCACGGATGCCGTGGTGTTGGCTGGCAATCTGAACGCCCAAGTCGGAAAATTGTCCTCTGATAAGCTTCATCTCGGCGGCCAACATGGTGTAGGCTCCCGTAATGATAACGGTGAGCGATTGCTACAGCTGTGTGAAGATGCTCGCCTCTTTCTCGCGAGCACTAACTTTCGACACAGCACCCGCAGAAGCGTGACTTGGCGGCCACCAGCCTCGGGCCAGCCATGGACGCAAATCGATCATATCGCGATCAGTTACCGCTGGAGAGGCTGTGTCCAAAACTGTCGCTCGATTTGGAGCACGAGCGTGGACTCTGACCACGCACTTGTCTGTGCCGACCTCCTGGTGCGTTTCGGTGGACGTCCGCAACGTCGTCGTGAACGGATTGACACCAGCCAGCTGGCGAAGCCAGGTGTTCTGAATGTGTGTCAAAATGCGCTGACATCTGGGCTGAGTAAGCGCCTACTAAACGCCGTCGAAGATCATGGTCGCATATTCGTAAAATGTTATTGTTAACGTGCATGTCTTCATGTGGCAAAGCAAATTGCCAAACCGGACATTGGGTCTCTACATATTCTCTGGAACTTACGGATGTTCGCCGACGTATTCCGGCTGGAAGCGCATACAATGAGGCTCGCAAAAATCCCCGGGCAAAACTACGTGCTAGCCTGAAGAAAGACCGCAAAACCTGCTGGTCTCATCGTGCTTCTGAGATGGAAACAGCCGCTACCGTTGGCAGTCAACGTAAGTTATTCCGTCTGATAGGAAAACAGGCAAACGGGAGACCTGATGTTAGCGAGACGATACGCGACGAGAGTGGGCAGCCGATCCACAGCCTGTCAAAACGCTTGGAGCGTTGGGCTGAACACTTTGCAAGGCAATTTAACCAACCTGAGTTATCAGTTTCTTTTTCGGGCATTGAGCGCCCTTCTCCCTGGCCGTCCCATTGAATCCGCCCTCACGCGCAGACGTCGAACGTGAGATCAGGCTGTTGAAACTGCATAAGGCCGCAGGGGCAGATAGAAGTCCCCCAGCCCTCTTCAAATTCGGGGGACCTGCTTTGATAGATGATTTACACGAGTTGCTAGTGAAACTTTGGGAGCAGGAGACTGTCCCGACAGACGAACCGCTCTGTCATTGCCCCAATTTTCAAGGGAAACACCCGTTTAGAATGCGGCGGTCATAGAGGGATCAGTCTTATTTCTATTGTCTCTAAACTGCTTGCCTCTGTCATTCTCCAGACTGATCGGCACTCGTGAAAGTCAGATTCGTGAAGAGCAAGCTGGATTTCGCCGAGGTCGAGGCGGCATCGATCACATCTTCACCTTGCGTCAATTGTTGGAGCACCGCCATGTTTATTGGCGACCCGTCGTTGTCGTGTTTCTTGACATAAAAGGTACCTTCGGCTCAGTCGATCGACGTGCCCTTTGGGACTGTCTGCTGAGGAAAGGTGTGTCTGATAAATACGTAAACATTATCAAAGCGCTGTACGCGCATAGTTCGGGCAGGGTGAGGGTTTATGGCAGACTGTCGCCACCCTTCAGTATCACCAGCGGTGTGAGACAAGGTAGCCCGCTGTCACCTTTCCTCTTCAACTTCGCTATTGACGAAGTCATAGAAACAGCGTTCGTTGGACAAGACATAGAAGATGTGGAGCTACTTCCTGGTAAGCGACTTCTTGACTTAGAGTATGCGGACGATATTGCCCTAATCTGTGACAGCTCCCAAACATGCCAAGCAGCACCGGACCGATTAGCACTGGCTGTCAATCGTTTTGGGCTATGCTTTGCTCTATCGAAATGCAAAGTACTTCTCCAAGCTTTGTGGTGATTTACTAGAACTCCTTCAGGAATTCAAGTACCTGGGTAGCTATATTAGCAACCGTGGGATCGAAAATGAGGTTACGAACCGTATAGCAAAAGCTCGAGGTACTTTTGCCAATCTCCGCCATCTGTGGCGCAGACGCGACATTACTTTCGCCCTGAAGGGCAGAGTTTATAACGCAGCCGTCCGTTCAACTCCCCTATATGGTTTTGAAACCTAGCCCATCAGGTCGACAGACATAAAAGGGCTCATCATATTCGATCATCGCTGCCTTCACAGCTTAGCTCATGTCTGGTGGGAGCACCGCGTAAGCAATGAGCGTGTTCGGCGTCGCGTATTTGGTGCAGGAAGAGCGGATGAACTGCTCCGCACCATTATATCACGCACCAGGCTCCGATGGTTGGGCCACGTGTTGCGCATGCCAGCACACCGACTTCCGCGACGTGCCTTGTTTGCG